TAGGGACCCTTAGCACCACAGTTCAGTTGCAACTGAACTGCGCCACATGGGCTGGCTCTAATTACATCTGTCATTTTTATTTCAAATGGGACACGGAGCATGATATAAAATAACGTTTAGAACATATTACATGACAATGCTGTTTCTATGGGAATTGCCGTGACGGCAGAAACTAAGCTTGCTATTTTTGACGTCTAAATTGTAATTCAGAATTATCAGAAGCTTTACAATGATTTCTGCTATAAAATAAAGGTTTGTATTATACACGACGATAAAGGGACACTAGCCATGTCGTGAAAGTTAATTCACTCAATGGTAAAAATATCCCTTTATCGTAATAAATAACTATTTTTTATACATTCATACATGATGCCTTTCAAAAATTTTAAATGTGGTCAGTGTGATTACGCAATTTAAAAAACCGTTTGTTATCTCACAATCCTTTCCAGGATTTTAAATGTGCCCAATGTCATTACGAAACCTACAATAAATGCATTTTTATAAAGCATGTGTTAAAGCACGGTCCTTCCAAGGATTTAAAATGTGCTCAGTGTGATTACGCAACCAATAATAAATACTCATTTAAAAATCATTACATTGAGCTAGGGATTTGTTGGAAACATCTCGCACACACCTAATTTTCTTTAAATATAACATGCATACAATCAAATAAATTAGCCAGGGAAAGTTTTAAAGCGTTTTTTGCATTAAAAGAAGTTTGTATTTGTAATGATCTTAGCCTCCTACTATCTTGGCGGTCTAACGCCAACTTCAAGTCACACCTGAATATTTGACCATATTCTGTAGTAGCGGGAATGCCAATCTAACATGACTGCCTATTTGAATATTCTCGCTTACATTTCCCGCGGGAATCTGTCACTCGGTGGCTACTCCGAGTGCCCTAAGATCGTGATCGTCATGTAGGACACCTACGTTGTGTAGTAACTGAGTTTTAAGCAGGCACTGAGGGCGTTTTATGGCTAAGGAACGCCAAAAGCAATAGCTGATTAAGATTATATTGAAGCTAATACCAAGTTCGATTACAGAGTGACCCGCATAGTGGTTTTTAGCGGCACCCCTGCGGAAGGACTTAAGTTGTTCTATACTACTACGGCATTTACCTTACGAATTAGGAAAACTGCAGGAAAACCTAATTCGGAGTAGCCCTATAAAGAACAAAGCCTACAGCTAATATCTAATATACCACACTTTTGAACCCTCTCGGAACCGGGGTAAATACTACATACACGCTATGAGTAACCAAAAATGGAATGGAATTCCCCAGGTATTACAACACATACATCAGACAAAACTAAGAGATATTAAATATACCTCGCCGGGCGGTAGGATTACCCAGGCCCAGTGGGGTGCCTTTAGACGTAGGCTAAAGTTGTTGGGTTTCGCAACGAGTGAAGTTAGTGTTAGGTTCACCAAGGCCCGTATCAACTTGAATAACTCGATCCCCTCTAAACAAGCACACTTCCCTCTTGATTACTCACAGCCCCAAATAAGCAAATATAATGAAATGCAATGAAATAATCGAGAGTGACTAAAAAGCACAATACACAAATATGTACAGAACAGATACAGCCCTACCGACAATGAAACATGATTGCCAATACCAACAAAGGTTACACATTAAGAGGTACAACGTACAAGTGATTGAATCCAGTAACTACATAAGTAAATGGTTACAATCTGCATTCAAGTTACACACATTTATAGATTAATTGAATAAAGCAAATACCTCACCTGATATAAAAAGCAAAAGCACACAGCAATGATTAAGGTATAACAAAATATTTCAAGATAAGCCGTACTTTACACTTCAGCCGGTTACAAGAAAACGTCCCTGAACACACATGTTAAATCGTACTTATTGACTACCCCAAGCCACACTGTAATTTGATCTAACACCCCTAAAAACCACCCGAAAATCGCCCATTCCCTGCATTTCACGCATTTCTAGGAAAAAACTGGACTGCAGGTGTTTGAAATGGTAAACACATATGGTCTTCCAAGAAATTCCATCCGTCTAATCTTCGCTCTCTTTCCCTTTTCTGTAATCCCACCAGATTTCGGTTGGCAGCTTGTGTAACTAACATTATGTATAGGGTGCTTCGTATCGACAATCATATTCACAGGACGTTGCTAAGGTTGGGGCATCTCATATTAAAAAATACACCCATTATTTACACTAGTGCTATAGCCCTGATACAAACAAATAACTTAATTCAATAACTTCATACAAACAAAACACGGCACCAGATGAGATGGTTTACTAACCGCGTGACGTCAGAAAGAAATTTAATATGGCGTCTGACCTGCGCAATGTTATATCTTTGAAGCTTATTCTTATATGATGGGCGCTACGTTTGTTTTTATTAGATCTAGGTATGGTTAAAATTTCACAAAAATAGCGCATGAGCACAATCAATTTTGAGTATATGCGATATGTTTGTCTTTACTAGAGGTATCCGTGGGTGGGTCGCTTAAAAATGGGAAATCTCCTCAAGCACTTTACTTTCATCACGATTCATCTTGAAGAAGTAAATCCCCCGAAGCCCCCCCCCCCCCTCCAATCTGATCGCGAAAAATTTCCGGTCGTAGCTACAGAGATTTTTAACGTACTTGCTCCTCTGGAGGGATAAACAGATTTAGCACACCCTCTCCTCGCCCACAAGCCCCTAGTAGATGTAAAGTACGGCTACTGCAACTACGGAACGGTGTTTTTCTTGCGTTAGGTTCCCCTAGATGCCGCTTCGGTCGCGGGGTGACGGTCGACGTGGAGAGTACAAGAAAGCGCGAGCATTTTTTGGAGAATGTCTCAGTTACAGATAACTTTCTTAATTTGAAGGACACGACCTCCGTATCTCTTTGAATACATTGAAAGAGTCATTCGGGAGTCGAAAGGTTTTTTCCAAAAAAGTAGAGTTAGGTTAGGGTATCGAAATTTTTATGGTAAGTGCGAGATTAGGCGAGCAACGACCAAAGTCAACGGGGCATTCTGTCGAGGGGGGTGAATTTTCGACTCTTGGTATGCTTTAAATGGGAAATCTCGTGCGAGGTTTAATTCGCAAAACGGAAATTTACTTTCGCCAAAGGGATTCATCTTCAAACCTCTAGGACTAACTATTCGCCTTGATAACGTGGAGTTAATAATTTTTGAATCATGAAATTGAGATTCATCGTAGACGTAACTAGATTGGGTAAACAGGTTATAGTGTAACGTTTTGTTTGAGTGAAAACTAATCGGGCTTAAAAATCATCAGAATCGAAATGCCCAATGTCGCATCATGACTCCCGATCTTCGAAATTTAAATAATCGTCTAATTAAATAAATATTTCAAATTTGATATAATTAATTCAGCAACAACCTTCACGACTAATTAAATATATTTTGGAATAATTCCCTATTTACCTTAAATGATAGCATTTTTGCACAATAATTCAAAAAACCTCATTATCTCTATCTAGTCCATTTCGCTTTCAAACAAGATTTTAATTTAAACCTAATTATGTGCTTGAGAAAATGTACAAAACATTAATATTTTGTTGTTATTTTTGTTTCAGGTAAGGGAATTTTCCGTCATCTCTAATCTCAAGATGTCTCGAGAACTAGTAAGTTATTCAAAATGATTCAACTTTAGTTACGCTTTTTTGTGTTGGGTAATTACGGTTTATATAATAGTGAGAACCCAACATTTGGCAGGCAGTGCTCCCGATGATCTTGAAACGACTTGA